TGCATTTGTAAATAAATATCTTAAAAACAAATAACACTAACAGGTAGATGACTGATTTCTCTATCACTGGGTATAGTTATTTTTTATGAGATTGAACCTTTATTCGCGAGAAATCAGCGATTGAAATATTTGTTTACAAAAGCAATTACGTCTAAATCTCAAATCACGCCGGAAATACGGTTCGAACGTTAACAGGAGTGTGAGTGAAAGACTTAAAGCACAAATTTTATGATTCAATTCCTAGTTTAATTCTTAGGTGAAAGCACTGAAATATTGAAATGATGATACTTTGTGCTGTGCCTATGGGTGTTGTCATTTTCAAGAATCAAGATGTATATACATACCTTTAATGAACGCTCTAGCAGGAGAGTCACATATAAGACATCTAATCAACACAGAAATTTTGTGGCCATTAACTATTATTCCGTTTTCATAAGCATCCTCCATTTCATCCACAAAAGGTGATAAGAATTGAACAATATTGGAAGGCTTTGTTTTCCAGAGTATATACCAATTATCATTGGTCTAATCTGCGGCATCTCGTGAATGTTGAATAAAATGGGCCAAAACTCGTCTTTAGAGCTTCTATAAATTGGTAATCCATCGATGTTCATTTTGAGTGATATATTTACTGGTTCTGATGCTTCTGAAAAAACTTTTTCAATGCAAGACTTGAGCCCATGATGCCAGTATTGCCCTCCCGCGATATTTTTGATAGAAACAGACTGTGGAGTTTTCACGAGAGTACGAGGATCTCGAGGTAGCACATTAGAAAGGCGGATGTTTAGAATGCTTAGTAGCTCTTTCAAAGCGTTGTGTTTGATGTGGAAATTTACGGCCCATGTTCGAAGAGCAGTTACTAAACGAATGTTGGCCAACATTTCATTCTCATCACTTGAAAAATCATGTTCTTCATTTTCTATTCTACTGACACATTCTTCATCACTGTGAACATCAAGTTCTTCTTCATGTGGGTTGCCAGAGGGATCACGAAGTTTATTGACAACTATTTTATCATGATCGGCAACAGTGTGACCCATTTGAACACTTTCTCCTATTACATTAGGCTCAATCGGATTAACAGATCGAGGTGACTGAACTGGTGGTAGAACGGAGCGGTTAGATGACAAATGTTGTGGATTTCGATTGTATTTAGATTGAAGGGTTGTCAAATCACTATTTTGTATGTTAAACAAATTTTGTTTGATTTTGCGCTTGAAAGTACCACTTGTTTTGACTTTTCTTAGCTTTTCTCTATGCGGATCCATCTTTCCGAGTTCAATGTGCAAACAGAGTGGTGGGAGATTTTATGATACATTTTATTTAGCCTAAAAAGCAACAATAAATGCTTTTTGCTCTCACCTGAAACCACATAGGTTTATGATTGCATTCATATTGATAATTTACGTTTATGGAGTATTTTATCATTACTCTGATAAACAAACATCTCGTAGGTTTATGAATGGTATTGAAGCCAGTTTTATCATGGTTTAGAGTGCTGCGTTAAATTTATTTTTAAAACCAGAGAGTTTTTGCATTTATAATCAGACTACAAAAGGTTTGCAAAACAGCAAGAGTGTAATATATAAATTAAGAATGTTTAGCACTAGTAAAAGCTGGCTTTAAACTAATTAGATTGTTTATTGCCGTTATAAAACCTCAATAAATTATAATGAAAGCTTAAAGGTTGTTGAAATGTTACTTTGGGGTGAACGAAGTTATGGTTAATTTCCGAGAGAGAGAGAGAGAGAGAGAGACTCAATGTCCGTAGCCTGCGGGGTTGTCATCGTTGTTCTTCCGTTTGACATGTCATTTAGAGAGCTGGTGTTGTCCAAGTGCCATCGTTCGTCCGTTGTCGTGTCATTGTTCGTTGCGAGGTTCTACGTATATTGATAGTAGCCTGTGTCTTTAAGGAAGTCAAGAAGTGATCTTTCCCTGTCTGGGTCATTGGATAATGCGTCTATGATGCTGAGACCGATACCGTATTGGTCTCAGAGGTTTTGATGTGCAGGGTAATTTATTATGAGATGCTCAACGGACATTTTGGTTGAGCATCCCATACAATGTTTGTGGAATCCATTACGGGATCCGAGATCGTGTGAGAATCTGGTGTAGCCGCAGCGTAATCTGTACAGTACTCTATGGTCCTCCCAGATTTTAGTGTCGGATCAGCATTTCGTATTTCCTTTTATTTTGCGTAAGAAAGGGTCTCGGGTATTAGCCCATTACTTGTCCCATGCCGAAGCGATGATCGTTTTGATCCAGATTTTTAAATCCACTGCAGGGACTTCCGGTTCCACTGGGATTTTCGATCTGCCGATCGCTGCCAGCTTGTCCGCAGCCTCGTTTCCACTGATATTGCAGTGGTTGGGAACCCAGAAATATACGGTGTTACTGTCAGCCATAGTAAAAACACTGAACCCTTTTGCACGGGTGGCAGTTTTGTCTACAAACACACCACCAAGAGCATTGGGTTTTACACTCCGTACCAGTGCTCGATAGAAAACACCAAACGCAGCGAACAAGGGACCGGTACCGGTGCCCGTGCATAATTATTTGCACCGGTGTATGGATGCTTCGGCAAGCACCAAAGCCGAGTGTTTTGACTTCGGGAAACACCGAAGCCGAGTGTTTTCGATTTCGGAAAACACGTTTGGTGCTCGTAGGAATTTTCTTTGGGTGACTTCTGAAAGATTATCGTAGCTCTTATACGCCTTAAGCATCTTCCATTCCTTCTTAAGCTGATAGATAAGTGGTCAAAGCAATACTTCCATAATGCCAATGTTCGTGCTCTTTTCCAGTCTGTCCCCTTTCAATTTTTTCTGTTAACATTTTTCATAAGGTGAATCTATGAAATTCATTTCGATTTCTTTTGGCGAAAAAGCATTATGCAATCTTATAAAGCTTATGAGCTCAAGGGATCATCTACCAGGATTTTTTTAAATACGCAAATCACCCACCTCGCAAGAGTGTGTTTCTGTTCACCCACTGGTATTTCTTGGCTTTATATTAAATAATTTAGCTGATTGATGAGAGTCAATCTAATAATCATAACTTATCTCCAACAAAAACAAGCAGCTCAACTGATTGAATAATAGAAGAGATTTATGGGGGGTAGTGGGTTTACATAATATGTAATATATTATATGCTGGTTCACTATTTGATAATAAATAATTTATTATATGCTGGCTCACTAGCTCAACCAACTCAACTAACTAGCACGAATTTCAGAGGCTCCTAAAGTTTCATGCTGGTGGATGCTGACGCCCTGTTTACATTATGCTGACTATTTATAAGTACAGCTTTAGTTCACTAGCATCAGCATACCAGCACAGATGTAAACACCCAAATAGCGGTGGGTGAACAGAACTATTCACCATTCATGTAGGGTAGAACAGCCCGAAATGCACCCCGGGCCAAACGCGCGATTTCACTCTTAATTTTGCCGAAACGCTAGTTCAAGTACTAAACTAAGACTGTGACGTGTCAAATTTATGAATTAAAAACGAAAATGTTATGAAAAATCGCATCGAGCGATTTGCGCGAGCTGCATTTTGGGCTGTTTTCCCCTAAATAAAAGCAATGCGCTCAAGAAGGATCGCATTCTACCTTCTACTAGCTCCGTATCAGCCATGGTAGCTGTTTTGTTGATGTTGGATATAAGTTATCATTATTAGATATACTCAAATCGTGTGGAAACAATCAGCTCAATTAGTTAACATAAAGCCAAGAAATACCAGTGGGTAGACGGCAACAGAAACACACTCTTGCGAGGTGGGTGATTTGCGTATTTTTAATAATCCTGGTAGATGATCCTTTGAGCTAATAAGATTCATAAGATTGCGTAGCCACAAGAAATCGAAATGAATTTCATAGATTCACCTTATGAAAATAATGTTGACAAAAAAGTTAAAAGGTGACAGACCAGAATTGAACCATGGAAATTGGCATTATGAGAACAATGCTTTGACCACTCGTCTACTAGCTCTAGTCGCGTTAAAGATCTACCTTCTGTAAGAAAATAATCTTTCATAAGTCGCCCCAAAGAAAATTCCTGCGAGCAGCAAGCGTGTTTTCCGGACTCGAAAACACTCGGCTGCGGTGTTTCCGAAGTCAGAAACACTCGGCTTTGGTGCTTGCCGAAGATCCATACACACGGCGAATGAGAACGACCCAAATTTGAGTTTAGTTCACTCATAATCGCCAAAAGTGCAGGAACTCAGCGATGAGTTAATTTGCCTCATGTTTTCCCAGGCTTTTCCAGGATTTTCCAGGGAAAAATTCCTGAATTTGAGAAAAGTAAAGATTAGATTCACTCAGTCTATTGGTACTACTCCGAGACTGAATAAAATTTTCGTCAATTTCCTCATTTTCCGGCAGATTTTTTAGGTTTTCCACAGGAAACCAAGAGACAAATTTTACTCATCGCTGAGTTCCTGCACTTTTGGCGATTATGAGTGAACTAAACTAAAAATTTGAGTCGTTCTCATTCGCCGTGCACCGGTGCAAACAATTATGCACGGGCACCGGTACCGGTGCCTTGTTCGCTGCCTTTTGTGCTTTGTATCGAGCACTGGTACGGAGCGTACAACTCAATGCACTTGGTGGTGTGTAAAAAAGGCAGTACGCAGTGTAGTGTTGTGTTTAGACATGCCTGCTACTAGATTGTACTAGTATTTTCATCAAATGTATTAGAATGTTTTGTTTCTATCTCTTTCACTCTAATCAAAATTGAAATGCATAAAAAAATGACAAAATGATACACTCTTTGCACACTGTCAATGAATCATTATACACAAAATCAACTTTGTTTAAATCAAAACAAAAAAACTACAAGGGACAGCCCAATGGGGTTGTACGAACAGTTGACGTAGGACTAATCTCACATATGGTAACTATTTAGAACGAAGGTTATTTAAAATTCCCGATATTATTTTGACATCCGTGAATTTCTTTCGAAGTGTAATAATTGGTCAGTGTCCATTTTCCGTTTAATACTAATAAGATTCTTTTTCAGTTCATGTGTAATTATTCTTGTGTTAGAAAATATTCCAAATTAACTCTTTCTTTGAAAATTGTGGTGGCCCTGAAAAGGGCCGTTTTGATGGTTTGTGGCTCTGAAAAGAGCCGTTTTGATGTTGCATGGCCTTCAAAAGGACCGATTTGGTGATGTGGTTTTATAATGAACGGTATGTAAGATGACGTTGTTGTAACACCCAGTTCAAAACGGAAGCATCCTATTGCCACTACTGTGTCGTCGGTGGCTATAAAATAAAGCAAATGATCAACCATATTCAAGAATTATTCAGTAACTTACAGCAGACAACAAGGTAAACAAGGGGCGATGGTACGAAAAGTACGTAATAAACCTTTTGGTTGGCAATTCCGGTATTTTTCTTGCAAACACCAAATCGATGCATGTACCACCCAATGTAGTCGGCAGCTTAGGGTCTGATACGAGATCGAGTTGCAGAAAATTCTTCATGAATTGGACGAATCCGATATTCTCAGCTTTCGAGACGTCTACGTTGAAATCCCCAGTAACGATGATTGGATTATCTTTCGTTTTATAGTGGAACAGATTCCTGGTCATGAAGGTTTTGGCTTGCTTCATCGTAGTATTCGGTGACAGGTATACGCAGAATACTATAATGTTGCAAGCTTCGACTTGGATATTTGCTGCGCAAATATCGCCATGCTTTTCAGCTTCTATGAGGATGGGATCGTACTGTTCACTCAATTTTTCAATTGTGTGTGAGCTAGATAACGGTGATATTGTTGCTCTCTCAAAAATTGCCACTCCTCCTGCTCTTACGTTTTCCCGTTTGAATTTGGCTATGCATCTGTAACCTGTACAAATAAAAATTAATTATTTTGACGCAAATAAGAAAAGCATTTATATGTACCTTGAATTTCCAATGGAGCATTGTTGTCAATCCACGTTTCACTGAGCGCAAAGAAGTCAGCCCGTGTCATTACATGATCGGTAGACATGTCTTTAGAATGTGCATTAAGGCTTTGGACATTGAGGCTCATCAATACACCAGAATGGCCGTCATTTGAAAGGAACGTATTCAGTTCGTCACTGAGCGTCACCAGCTTGTGGTTTTCGAGCCTATGCATCTCGTCTCGCAGTTCCCTCATTCTTGGTGTATTGCTGCCCTTCGCATGGTGGAATATGAACGAGTTCGCAGAGTTGGTCAGATAAAGCCCCTGTAGTGAGCTCACACGTGACATGGCGACATATACCAGTTGCTGCTCCTGGCTCTTATCGTAATCAACCACAATTTCGTTGAAGGTACCTCCTTGGGATTTGTGGATCGTCAAAGCACACGCACTGGCAACGGGAAACTGTATTCTCTTGCACTTGATTGCGCTGCTTAGTTTAACATTCACTGATCGCTTACAAATCGGAGTCCAATCTTGCTGTAGTATGCCAGGTTTTGAAAACACAAGTGCTCTGGATTTCACTCGAAGTTGAGCTCCAACAGCGTCATTTTCAAACTTGAACCAAACGCGGGATGCTGATTGCTGAAGGTCGTCATCTGTGTGTTCAATGTATTTTAGCACGCCGATAGCACCATTCACGATGCCGTCTCCCACGTCTACGTTGGTCGTTATCATGTACGACATACCATTAACCAATCGCAACAGGTAGGGAAGGCAACCTGTTTCTGCAACACTCATTCTGTAAAGCTTGGTGCGAGCGCTAGCTAGCTGAGCGGCGTCTTTGTAACCGGTGATTACGTCCTCGGCTGTACAGTCCCACCCTTCTTGGCTGCTTAAAGCTTCGTTGTTATACATGTCGACAGCAGTGTTGCGATGATATAACCGTATGGCGTTTGGTACGTGCTTCTTACACCATTCGACAGTTCGGAATCTGCTTTCGACCAGCTTAGCTTCATCATCTGTCAATCGCTCACCGTTCCCAATCTTCGTGAGTATTGAAGAAAATTCAACGTCACTCTGTCGCATTACTTGGCGCAAAGGAAAGTAGTGTAACGTTTGCCAGAGCACTGCACCACCTATTGAAGTGTTCACGGGTTTGAAAGGCGGTCTTGCATTAACCGGAGGAAGCTGTCGGAAATCTCCACACAAAATCATGTCTTTCCCACCGAATGGTACATCGTAGTTACTGGTGATGCTCTGAAGTCGCGTATGTATCGTGTTGAAAATGTTCGCTCCTATCATGCTAATTTCATCAACGATAATTAGCCTTATGTTAGCAAACGAATGTCGATACAGCTGCAGTAGTTCAAATCCAAGCTTTCCATGATGCCTACGATCCATGGTGATGTGAAACGCGGAGTGCACAGTTGTTCCTCCTATAGCCACGGCAGCCTTTCCAGTTGAAGCGCAAGCGACATAGGCATTATTCTGCGCATTATGAGCTTGGCTGAAACGATTATACGTTTCCATCAATATGTGAAGCGTGAATGTTTTCCCGCATCCTGCCGGTCCGGTGAAAAATAGCTGAAGAGGCTTTCTACTGTCATCGAAGCAATGCAGGTTGTCTATCACCTGCAGTATGAGATCTCTCTGTTCCGGATTCGTTTTACGTACTAGAGCACAGTAATCCTGCTTAGTCATCACAGTGGTTCGCTGTTTGATGACAGCCGATAAGGCGTTCGCGGGTAACAGGCGGATATCGTCGTCGTTGGGTTCCATGGCAATTGTTCTACTACATTGATCACGCTTTTCTGTCGCTGCCGTTTCCTGAGCATTTGGCGCATCCTCTACACACATCCGTAAATATTCCTCAACGGTCTGCTCAAGATTCAACTCACAGTCGTACTCCTTACGCTTCGCTAGAATGGACGCTTCATGTTGGTCGTAGAGCTGCAAGAATTTATTCTGGTCCAGTATATCACTCAGCTCGTTACGAAACGGTACAAACAGTAACACCATTTCACGTTTGTACTCAGACATTTTTGCCATATCATATGCGCACCATTGCAGCACCCGGGGAACAGTGCGAGTTCTGTACGAATTGCTGCCGATTCGTTCTTTGGTGTAGTGTGCCGCGAAGTCGGCTAGACATAAATCATCTAAACCGCTACGCTCTTCGTACTTCTGCACGATATTCAACGTCCATACATCAGTTGAATCGTCAGCAATACCTTCCTCATCCATACGCTTATTCCGTTTTCTGGACTTGACACGTTCGTGCGGCCACATCGTCGGAATGAACTGCGTCGCTCGACTTGCTTCGGACATCGGCTGACGCAACAGATACCAAGCTGCTTCTTGGGCGGACATCTCGACCGAACTCAGCATCTTAATGCTTATCTTCTTCAGAAGCGCAGTATAGTCCTGATCAGGGAACTCCTCTTGAAGTTTGATGAGATCGCGTTGGAGGCAGCTTACACCACGATTGGTTTTGTTAACGTACTCAACGACGTACGCAGCGCAGGAATACTCGTCTAGAATAAACTGTAGGTCCATGTTCGAGCAGAGGTGATTTGCTATCCAAGGATTGAACGGATTTGTCCAAAGTTCTGTCATGGATCGCTGGAGTAAGACTGATGGACGGCGAATTGATGCTCGGATGACATCGAGATAATAATCAAGCGTACAATCACAATCAAGAAGGAATGCCTCCAGAGTGTCGTATGTCTTAGTGTCCAAAGCCACCCGCATTCTCTTTGCTTTCCGAGCGAGTTGATCACGGCGACCGTCATCAGATGCGATGGGAATAAGAATTCGGGTCTGATCCATAGGCCAATACGGTATATTGAAGCGGCAGTGATTTTCATTCCTTTTGTAGCAAGTGAATGTGTGTTTATGAACCTACAAATATAAAATTATATAGAACATTGAGATACTTATTTCACATTTTGAGTAACACTTACTTGACAACCGTAAGTGTCCGGTAAATCTCCGACACTAACAGAAGAGAGATTTGTTATCAACTGTATGGTTGCAGGCATGTTTTCACCGATTACTTCATGAGGATCATTGCTTAGCCACAGCAAAATATGCGCGTGGGGACTGCCACGGTGCTGAAACTCGATACGTTTGAAAAAATCAACTACGCGATATTTCCCGAAGGGGCTGTATCTTTGTGACATCAGGAGAGTCATTATCGTGTCCACAAGTTTGTTGAAGTAGATGCAACATGTGACCGGGTCGTCATTGACAAGAGTTGCTCTTTGCAGCGCAGTCAATTGATGCATAGGATCTGTTAAATCACTGCCGTTGTACCCTTCCGACAGTCGATTCAATATTTTCAACAAGTGAGGCCACTTCATTTCACTCGCACTTAGAGTAAGAAACATGGTGGGCTTACCCAATTGTCGCATCATTGCAAACAAATCTTTCTTCCGTTGCTGCCAATACTGAACGGAGTTCGGAATCGACTTAAGAAAGGATAAATTTCGATCTATGCATTGCTCCATGAACTCTCGATCCTCGAGATTGGCACGTGTGATATTCGCGGTTCCCATGCATTTGAATGTACACTGCAACCCTTCTGAGACTCGAACACGAAGTATCTTCATTGCCATGTATAGCAAATGTTGTGGTTTCGCTCCACGTCTATCCCGGCGCCGAGTTTCGCTGGATGCAATCATGAAACACGTTACCCGTACATCTGGCTTGAATTCTCGCGGATGGCCAAAATATATGGCAGGGAATGCGAGTTCTTCGGCATGTTCATCATAAATTATGGACAAGGGGACCTTGTTTTGTGCCGGAGCGATCTCCAAGCACTTGTCCTCATTCCAAAGAAGAGTTTCTTGTTGTCCAAGCAACAGTTCCGATTCGTTATCCAAGGCAATGGTTTCCAATTCAATTTGCGCATCCGATCCATTTGGTTCAAGTCCTTCCACGGCATCCTGATCAACGGTGATACAATAGCGGCGGTAGAGTGGCGTTGTAATCAAATAAGAGAGCCAAGCTTTGACAGTGACTTTCTTGATGAAACCGGACAAGTACGACGATTTATGAACTACATGCTTCTTGATAAATACATTGAAGGCCTGATCATCATCCAGCTGACGGGGAAGAGAACGTACCATTTCAGCCACATCTACGGGACAATTGATCACTTGTCCGACAATAGAGTAACTGCCTGTAATTGTAAATATGATGAATAAAATCATAAACATGATATATCAACCTATCTTACCTTGCGCATAGCGCAATCGACGAATCTGCATGAACGGTAGCCGGGGAGATACCAATCTTTCTGTGATGATATCAAGTGCAGGTAATCCTGATGGTTTCTTCGGATAGGTGAACCCATTCGACTTTGAAAGAGTTGGAACTTTTCCATGTTTTAAATTGGATCGGCAGGTTTGGCAAGCGGAAAATCTGTCTACCGATTCAAAGGATCCACTGTCAATTAACACTACCGCACAAGCTTGTGTCAATGGTTTCAAATCGTTGATGAACCATAGCCTGTCACACACATCGCATGCTGCACCAAATGCATTTTCGATGAACCGTTTGTTGAACTCTCGATTAGCACGATCAAAATTTGGTTGCGAGAAAGCATCTACATGACGGTTAGAAATTACGCATTAAATGATAATAATATTATGGCTTTACATATTGAAGCACGTCACACTTACTCTGCCTTAATTGCTCAGGCAACGAGATGTTATCATGTCCGCTGCATATGATTTGTCCTGACGTGACACAATCGGCGATTGTTTCTTGTGTGGAACATCGTGAAGGGATATTGTTTCCAAGGAAACTGTCGAACAAATGTTCAGCTAGTACGATGCCAGAGCTGATTAGTCCACTATCGTTACCATCACCGGGACCTTCAGAGATGTTTTGTACTCCGTTCGGTTCATCAAAAATTGAACGCACCGGAGGAAATTCTACAATACACAATTTATCACAACAGCACACGTTTATTTCACACCGTTCACAGACAAATGTTGTACAGTACAGACTTAACACAACTTAACATTAGATAAGTGACAGTATGTAAGAGTTATAAATTGAGAGTTTTCGAAGCCAACACAAATATATGAATTTTGTATTGTGTGGCAAGCAAAATTATATTCTATGCCCAGGGAAGTAGAGAAAATATTAAGCCCGAAAGATTTCCTCGACCGTAGCAGGAATCGAACCCACCACCTCCGGCTAAGTAATACTGGTGGGTAGAAACCAACGATTTTAAATTGGCTCACCATTGCACCAAGTACTTCTATGGCGTACCCCATTCTAGTCTAAATTTTAGCAGTACACTATATTTGTTTTGATTCGCTATGAAAGTTTGACAGATAAAATAAGGGGTCGTGGATTTTCCTATGTTTCGAGGAATGCATTGATTAGCTTGGGACCGAAGAGAGTATCAGAGCTGAGCCAAAAAGTTGAGCACGTCTCTTCGGGACCTTTTGGTCTTGGAGTTACCTCTATGGTTATATTCCGATGACATAATTCAAACAAAATGTAACATAGGGCCAACCGTTGAATTTCATGTACAACATTATATTTACACTATGAGCAATATACTCGGAATAGAAAATGCATTTTCACAGAATATTTTATGTTAGTTAACATTTGATGTATTTCAAATGGTTGGATTTGTAATTTCAAATGGTTTCATTTCTACTTAAAATTTACATACATTTCTTAATTGGGTGGGGATTGTTAGAATATTGACTAAAATCTCAAAATTAAGCGGAAAGCCGGTTGACAATACTCGCATCACTTTCAAATGGACCAATGTAACAAATGTAAACAAATCGAGTTAAGCGATACAAACTATTGCTCTTCTATCATTGTATGTGATACTAAAACACCCATCCAAATTTACTTTCATTTATTTAAGAAAATCTTAGCTTAAAAATTGTCCAATGTAAAGTTTTAAATGATGGGTACATGATTGTTACTTCATTACGGTCATTCGGACTGCCTAACATGATTGGTGCTCGTTTTCTAAAGGCGGGGAAAATCTAAAGTTAGGTATTCTATTATGAAATCTGTGAAAGGGTATCTAGTATCATGTAGATCAAAACGTCTAATGTAGCACTCATTGATTATGTAAGTGAGAAAAATCGTCCAATGTAACATGTCCAATGTACAACTTGACTTGTCAAAACGTCCTATGTGGTTTTTTTCTATGTTGTAGCATGACATTCAAAGTTAAATTGTGATTTTATCGTTTGTACTGAATTTTCAACGTTATTATTCACTGACTCCATTAAAAATAGTATTGCAAAATGTATTGTTTCTAAATAATCTGTCGAACTTTAGATTTTCTCAAAATGGTGGATATGTTACATTGGTCTATTTGAAAAGTGACGCGAGAATACTGCTTGTGTACGTTAAACTTGTTATTGAAAGTAGTGTGTTGTATTATGCATGTGATTACAGGGGGATTGGAATTCAACTTGTTCTTAAAAATTTATTTATTTGTTTAGTGATTCAAATTTCAAAGAGGACAGCAATTGTCCACTGTTTCATCAAATTAAATAAATAATATTTCATTCTTTATTTGTAGTACAAGAAAGATTCGGATAAGGATGTTTATTTAAGATAATGTATGTTAATTGGTTCGTAGTATTGGCAAAAAATACAATATTAGAGAAAAATACAGGTATCAAATAATTTAATTCTTTTAAGATGAACTTTTCTTGAAACAATACAACTTATAAAATATGGAAAGGGGTGTAAGTGAATTTGAACGATTCTCTTCATCGAATTTTTCTTTTGATACTCACAGCCTTACAAAAAAGATTTCGCGCTATTTCTGCCACATAGTTTGATAAAGGAAGTTCTCATGAAGCACCCAGAACGGCAAGTGCATCAAGGAATTTGTTTGCAGCTGAGCTATTAACGAAAGATAAAGTCGATGAAGAGAATCAAAGTCACTTATACCCCTTTACTTGTAACCCCGTCATATAAGATTCTGTCAATTATTCTTCTCAGTTTAAGCACATACAAATCACATAAAGATAATGCAAAACAATGTTTTGATAAATTTTAGCGTTCAATTTTCTAAATTGCACTGTGGTATTGCCATTCACTTATTGAAAATAAAATCAGATTTCCTACCTCGAGTCGATGGGCCTTCTCCGGCGTCCAAATTAGGAGTTGGCGACGCATTACCTTTGGCCGTTTTTTTGTTGGCTCGACACATTCGAACGCGTTCAGCAACGGTCCGCGCCTGTTTCGCAGGTTGCCCTGCCTCCTGGTCTCTCACGCGCTTCCGATAATCGCGGAGATATTTAGCAGCCATGTGTTGAGACATTTTGAATATTTTCCCAGAATTTCTCAATAAACACTTGTTTCACTTCGAAATTGACTCTATCCAAGGCGGAGTGTAAACACTGAAGCATTAACTGTACCGATTGAAATTTTCAGAGAATGCTACAATGCATGATCACGATGGTGTTTCAATATGATGTCTGTGTTTGGGAAACAATCACAAAATAGGAATTTTATTGCCTTTCTACACGCCGGTAAGCTACACAGACTCCTCCCAT